TTGTTAGCTTCAGAGAGAAAAGGCTCTTTGTTGTTGTGTGATAGGAAGACATCAGCAGCATCAGGGATGCTAAAAAATAGAAGAGATAGGAGCATGAGGCTGTAGTTTTGAATTTACACTCACATGGTTGGAAGAAATGTAACCAGTCATCACCAGCCATCTGAGCCTTCTCACTTAATGCAGAATCTTACATGGGGTCATATCCCCTCTCTAATAACAACAACAGTAAAAAGTTGTCGTCCACAAGCACTTAACCATTGCTTTACCAGGCCACCAGGGTTCCTCAGCCCCAGAAGATGCCCTAAAAATCATTTAATTAAACTTGATGAATTTAGTTGTATTTAATCTGAAGTACAAAGAGCTCTGATGGTTCAATGTTTGGCTACTAAAAGAAAGATCATTGGTTTGAGCCAGCCAGCCATGCTTAGAAGGATGTGGCAGTGCACCTTTCTAAACCCTATGAGGCAGTTCTATCGTGTCCCATAAGGTCGCTGTGAGTCAGTATCTACTCAGTAGAAAAAGACAACCTGGAAGAATGAATCTATTCGACAGAAAAGGATAACCTGCAAAGAATGAAAGTGATCTGTTAAAAATTACTGGTACCCTCTGGTTCTCAAAAGTTCTCTTTACACCAGTTCACTTTGACAAAGAACCAACAGTAGCACCTGTTTTTGCTCTAGTGGAATACTTCCTGAGGAATTTGACTGCTAACTGGAAGGCTGGTGGTTCAAATCAATCAAATACTCCTTGGAAAGAAGATTGGACAATCGACTTCTGTAGAGATACAGCCTAGAAACCCAAGGAGGGGTTGCTGAGTCCAATATGACTCAACAGCAGAGAGTTTTTTCCTTTTTTTTTTAACTGAAAGAAATCCAAAGAGGATTTTCACTTTTATGAAAAAAAGCCAAAGAGAAAACCTAGTGATCAGCATTTTGCAGGGAGCCATTAAAGAGGCAGCACAAGCTCCCATACAGCAAGAGTGCTATCAACTTGCTTCTGTGGGAATTGCATCCAGGACCTCAGCATTGAGACACCATAGCTTGAGCTGTGTCTGTGAGCACTGTAAGTTAGTGTCACTTTTCGTTTTCCTGTGTCATTTGATGTGATTTGGTAAGTTAATTCTTGGATCTGGGAGTGCTGATTTTTGCATCTGGGAATGGTCAAACATTCTTCCTATGTAAATCAATGGTCATTGCTTCTTCACTTTACTCCATGTCAGTGTACAAAAGGTTTCATAGGAATGTAGTACTTTAGGAGAAACCTGTATTGAGTTAGAAAGTAGCATGAGCAGATGAGGGAAATGATGATTTGCCAAATAGTGCATTATATTAAAGCACGGTTATTGATAAGGCAATATTACTATATATGCTTTAAAAATGTGACAAAATTAAATGATTCTGGTAGAAATATAGGGGTCATAATGTCTTTGGTTTCTATAGCAACCCTTGAAAATAAGGAAGATAATGTTTATTAGTGATTATAGTTATAATGTAATAGATTATATTAGTCAATTATAGTAGATTATTTGTTTTTGGTGGTTTATCACATAGAGTTTGTACCAATTTACAAAGTAAATTAAATGATATGTTTTTTTTAAAACATAATTTTTTGGCAGCTCTCCAGTGCACTGGATTGGGTGCATTTATTTGATTATGATTCTTCAAAGTCTTTTATGCTTTGTCTGAAATACTTTCAATTTTTTTTTTAAATAGCTCCCTTCTTTTCATTGCCCTTTATTATTTCCTGATACATCCCGATTATTTCTTTTATTGTCTATTTCTGTCTGAAAGGACAGTCTTAACGTAATAGCATTTATATTATCTTTTTTGAAACATGTTTTGATCTGTTAACTGATAGAGAAGCTTGAAGAGATATCGGGGATTGTATCAGGGAGTTGGCAAGTTATTGATGAGGGTAAGGACTGAGAAATCTTAGTTTATCCAGTTCGTACAGCAAGCCATATGTGAAGTAAAGACTAGAATGAAATTAAAATTCTGATTTGCATTCTTTGTACTAAATTCCAGGAATATTAGTTTGGGGAGAAGTTAGAGTAGAGCAGCAAATTCTTTGAAATTATTGAGAATAGTTTAGCAAACTTAAATTGCAATTGTTAATTAAATTAGATTATTTATTTGACCACTTTGAACATACTTTCTTTATTGTTTGGTACAAAGGATACCAAAGGCCATGGTGTGGCAATTGATAGTCTGCCTTACTGTCATATTTTGTATTGATTTATATACTGCTAACCAGAAGGCTGGTGGTTCAAACCCACCAGCCACTTCTCGGAAGGAAGGATGGGCAATCACTTCCATAGTGATACCGCCTCGGAAACCTAAGGAGGGGTCGCAATGACTCAGGTCCGACTCAATAGCACAACAACAAATATATATATATATATTTTTTTTTCCCCCCCTGCTAAACACCCAACTTGATCTGAAAAGCTTTAAATTCCTGAGAGGAAAAGAAGGGGGAAGTACTCATAGTTTTGAAAATTGTTGATATTTGTCATTAGTTGATATTAACTGTAAATATCTTGGTGCTTATAAAATATTTTAAATATTAAGTGTTTTATATAGTTGAAGCAGAATATAATTTTGTGGTGCAATTTAATGGAATGATTAAAAGCTTGTTTCCCAATGGTTCTTTCTTAGTTAAATACCAATGCTTGAAATTCTGTAAGAGTTGAGTTGCTTAGTTGTATTAAGGTTTAATAAGTACTACTATAGAAATATGAATAGAGATAACAGTATATTACTTCATAATAGTGAAATAAAGGAGGAAAAAGTGAAAATAATAGGAATGAAAGAGGAAAAAGACAACCTGGGATTCTAAAACTAACAATGTAGGCAGTAAAGACTTGATCAGAATGACTTGATAGGAAGGGTTGGACAAGTTGTATACACCAATTGAAAATAACCCAATTTGTCCAGGTGGGTCAGGTAATGGGTAAGACTTCAGCAATCCAAGTTAAACTTATTATTTCTGTACTGAGCTGCCTTGTTGAATGTCAAATACACAAATATTTAGTTTTTAAGTTTGAGATAATAATGTTTTAACAATAAGGATAACCATATCCATACTCCCTTGAATTGACTTTCATCTTTCATTGGTAAATTAAAGAGACTGGAACTTTGTCACCGTCCCTATCAACCTAGAGTAACTGTAGCACTCTGCGAGCTAAGCTTTTCCCCTGAATGCCAGTGTTTTATGTGCTCTAGGTAGTGGCACAGCCACAAATTGTTCACTGAAGACAGTGTTTCCCAATTTACAAGTGAGGAAATTGTGGCAACAGTCAGGAACTTAAAATATATTGTTTCATTAAGGGTTGCAAATCTAACTTGAATGAGAAGGAAATAACAAAGAATTTGGCTAACATTTGTTATATTAAATAAAATATTAGTTAATCTCCAGGATAATGCTTTGGGGTAAAGAGCATTAGTTTCAAAGGATTATGACTTTCTGGTGAATGCATTCTGGTGCTCAGGGCTAAGGATTAAAACACATACACAGTATATATATAAGGAGTTCTGGTGGCATAATGGGTAAGGGATTTGGCTGTTAGCTAGAAGATTGGTGGTTCAAACCCACCAGCTGCTCCATGTGAGAAAGGTGAGAAAATCTACTTCCATGCAGATTTACAGTCTAGGAAACCCCATGGATGTCTGTATGAGGCAGAATTGACTTGAAGGCAGGATTTTATTTTATTTATTTATTTTTAAATGTTACATATATATATATATTGTATAAATGTGGTTTTTGGTTAAAAAAAAAAACAATTAGATTCAATCAGAAGTATACCAAAGCTTTTACTATTTTTACTGTTACATTGCAATTGTACTGAAAAACAAAACAAAACAAAAAACACCTAAGATAGGAAATGGAATTGTTGTTTTTATGTACCATTGAGTCTGATGTAACTCATAGCAACCCTGCCTTGGGTTTCCAAGACAGTAACACGACGGAAGGAGATTGCCCCATCTTCCTTCCGAGGAGTGACTGGTGGGTTTGAACTGCCAGCCTTCTGGTTAGCAGTCAAGTGCCTTACGCACTAAGTTACCAGAGCTCCTACTGTAGGAAATACACCATAAAAAACACGTATGCAGCAAATTATAGCCATGCATCAAAGTGCCTCATAATTTAAAATGTATTTGTTAATTTTTCTATATATGACCTTTACACATATGATATACACAGGGATTTCCTCATATATTAAATTACTAACACATTATCTTTCACATATTTGCATACACCTCTGCATTTTCACTCATTATTTCATTTATGCATGTATTTTTGAATGAAACAGTGAGAACAGCAAAAAAGTCTGATTTATTTTTTCTTTAAAGTGTGAATTTTATAATTATATTGAGGCATGATGCCAAGATGATGTTTGGTAATGCCTGTTGATAGAATGGTCATGTAAATATAAAATGTTCTAGAATGTTTCATATTTATAAATATAAATAAATATATATACACATGCATCTATCTATAAATAAGTGTATACAAATACAAAGAGTGAGAGAGAGAGAGCATTGATGGTGCATTGTTTAAGTCTTTAGCTGGTAATCAAAAGGCTGGTGGTTTGAACCCATCAGAAGCTACATGGTAGAAAAGACATGACAATACCCTCCCAAGAAAATTACAGCCTACAAAATCTATGGGGCAATTGTACTCTGTCATAAAGAATAGCTAAGAATAGGAATAGATTTGAGGGCACACAATATGTGTGTGTATGTATACACGAAATATATATTTAAATTTCAGCTCAGAAATCAAATGCTTTAACAGTTACTAATGTTTACAAGAAAGGGACAAACCACTCTGCAGGAAAAATTCCTAAATAAAAAAATTAAATTTCTATTTTCTTCCACCCTTGAAGCATTTTTACAATAACCTTCCCTATTCAAGGAATCATGTACATCACCATATCTAATAGATCTCCTAAGAATTTATAATTTATCATCTAAATTTCAGGTGGCTACAAACTGCTGTGGATCATGGAAAATAGAAATAACATCACAGAATTTATTCTCTTAGGACTTTCTCAGCAACGGGAAGTAGAAATTCTCTGTTTTTTATTATTTTTACTTTGTTACATTGCAATTTTGGCAGGAAACCTGCTTATCATGATTTCTATCATCTGCAGTGAACTCATTAACCAGCCCATGTATTTCTTCCTGAGTTTCCTCTCACTCTCAGACCTTTGCTACACCACTACTGTGACACCCAAGCTAATCGTTGACTTACTGGCAGTGAAGAAGACCATTTCCTTCAATTGCTGCATGACACAGCTCTTCACCATGCACTTCTTTGGGGGAATTGAGATCTTCATTCTCACAGGGATGGCCTATGACCGCTATGTGGCCATCTGCAAGCCCCTGCACTACACAGTCATCGTGAGCAGACAGAGGTGTGAAGCCCTGATTGCTGCTTCCTGTGCCGGGGGTTTCCTGCATTCCTTTGGTCAGTTTATGCTGGCCATCTTCTTACCCTACTGTGGCCCCAATGAGATTGATCATTACTTCTGTGATGTCTATCCTTTGCTGAAATTAGCATGCACTGATACTAGCAGAATTGGTGTCTTGGTGATTGCCAATTCTGGCTTTATGGGTTTAGTAGTTTTTGTGGTCTTGTTGATGTCATATGCTGTGATCTTATACACTGTCAGGTCCTACTCCACAGAGAATCGTCGCAAAGCCCTTTCAACATGCAGTTCCCATGTCACTGTTGTGGTCTTATTTTTTGCTCCCTTATTTTTTATTTATATTCGACCAGCAAGTACTTTACCGGAAGACAAAGTGTTTGCTCTTTTTTATACTATCATTGCACCCATGCTCAACCCTTTGATATATACATTAAGGAACATGGAGATGAAGAATGCCATAAAGAAACTATGGTCCCATATCGGGGGAAGGGGAAGGAATAGACTGAAAGATATCCCTGCTTCTCACAAGAGACCTTGTTGAGTACACTTACTTTTCACTTATTGTGGGAAATGTCACCCAACATTTCATATTTAAGACAATAGTAAAAAATCTACTATCCCACTATTTTGTGCATGAACAACATACATCTGTCAGTAACAAATGTTAACGTGTGTGGTGAGAGTGACACTGGCTGCGATGGTTATGGTTACGCATCAACTTGGCTGAGCCATGATTCTCAGTGCTTTGACAGTTATGCCATGATATAATTTAGCAGTTATATGATGTAGTCATTCCTCTTTTCGTGATTTGATGTGATAATCTTCCATTCTTGCATATTACCAATATTTGCATAACAACTCTGTCTTTGAAATCTAACTATCTTGATAAGGGAGGAGTGGGTTTATACATCATCTTTACCTTTAAAACTTTAAAATGTATAAAGATCATCTGTGTCTCTTGTATCTAGCAACATGCATAGACTCACATATGAACAAACATTTACTATGTATTTGATTTATATAGACTTCTCTATTGCTCTGCTTTGATTCTTATGTTTAAAAACTTTTTTTCTTGGTTTGGTCTTGCTTATATGTCCTCTGCCTCATTGATTCTTTGTCATGTACATATAAACTGCACATTCCTAGTAAGTTGTACCACCATATATTGTGCTGGTTAAGGATATGGACCCTGGAGCCAGAATATCTTGGTTCAAAACCAGACTTGATAGATTACTAATCCAGTTTCTTAACATGCCTTTAAAATTTAGTAACTATCTTTCTTGTTTGGATTTTTTTTTTAAATAGCTCACTGCTGTCTAGTCTATTCTGACTCATAGTGACCCCCATTGGATTTCCCAGGTGGTGAATCTTTACGGGAGTAGATTGCCCAGTCTTTCTTCCATGGAGTGGCTGGTGGGTTTGGACCACTAACCTGCTGGTAAGCAGTCAGATGAGTTAGGCATTGTGCCACCAGAGCTCCTTTTTTACTGATGCATTGTTGTTATTGTTGTTGTTATGTGCTGTCGAATCGACCCGACTCATAGAGACCCCTCTTTGAGTTTCCGAG